GCACCAAGACCAACGTACTCAGCTAGCATGAAGAGTATATTGTGTGGAACCATGTCGAAAGCCTTGGCTAGATCAATTTGCAACATGGCTACTTTTAGAAGCGCAGCGTCACAATACTCCAAAATGCTCCTGGCAACATGAATATTCGTAAATATGCTCCTACGCTTAATGCCGCAAGTCTGATGTGACCCGACCAACTTGTATATAACTCCTTGCAACCTCCTAGCCAGAACTTTCATAAACACCTTATAATCTACGTTTGTTAGCGTGATTGGCCTGTATCCTGTCACTTTGCGTAAAACATGTTGCTCTTTCCCTTTGGGAATCAGCACGGTGTGTGCTCGATTAAACGATGGAGGCAGAGCTCCGCGATCTAAAGACTCTGAAAAAACCTCATGCAATGCGGTGACCAGATCCTCCTTGAACGCCTTGTAAAAGGTGGCATTAATGCCATCTGGACCAGGTGATTTGCCCATGCCGAGATCATCGATAGCCTTCTCAATTTCCCCTATACTAATAGACATTTCCAATAAATTTGTGTCCTCAGCATTAAGTGTCGGCATTTCTATCAAGAACTCATCTACAAAACCCGGCTCCTTTGGTTCGCGATAAGCAAACAAGTCCTGATAATAGTTTTCAAAAGGTTTCATAATATCTTTATGTTCTTTCAATATTTTACCATTCCATTCTATCTCTGGTATGTCGTGAGCTCGAGCATATGCCTTTTCATCTGACAAGGCTCGCTTTGTCGGGGCTTCACCCACGAGGTATCTCTCAGCTCTTGCTCGTATAATTGCGCCTTTATATTTATTTTCTTCAAGACATTCAATTTTATTTTTGACAACCTGCAGTTGATGTGTGAATAAGCCCGGGTTTTCTGCTTCAATATTCACCAAATCATTTAGCTCTGCCCGTAGCTCACGTTCCTGTTTTCGAGCTTGATACTGCATGTAGCAACCACACTCTATTGCATTCATTTTTATTTTTTGCTTAAATAATTCCCATCTTTCCGTGGCACTCCTTTCTGCGTTTTTGAAAAAAATCTCGATTTCCTTCTTTGTCTTATCTACAAACCCTTCGTGCGTAATTACCTTTGTATTCAGTTTCCATGTTTCCCATACAACCTTCTTTTTGCACTTTCTACCTATCTCAAACAAAACTAAGCAATGATCACTGAAGGAAACAGCATAAACGTCATAGTTCTGACATAAAGGTACTCAGAACAAACATATGCTCGATCTAGTCGTGCGTGACTCGAACCTTGAAAATGTGTGAAGTGCTGGCGACTGCCACCCATCGCAAACAGAGCTACGTCATGTAAAAAGTACTTATTAAGGCTGTCCCTAAGCAAACCAACGCTTTCTTCACCTAATTTAGCAGTATACGTGCAATCTTCTTGGGTCAAAACACAATTGAAGTCACCCAACAGAATCACACATTTCTGACATTCAAAGTACGCTTGCATTTCCCGAAAAAACAAACATCTATCTCTCGAATTTGTAGGTGCGTATACACAGATAACTCTAAATTTAGTGTTCCCGTAACAAAAGTCACACAAAACAAAACGCCCATGTAGGCAACTTTTGACCTCTTCCTCTACAATACCGACCCTCGACCACTTTGGTGAAGCTGCACACAGCTCTTAAAACGACGACACATTTCAGACTACCAATTGTAGCGCCACAAGTAGATTGACCCTACTTGGGCGTCATTATTAATGCATTGGTGCTGTGGCCGTTCCGGGCAGTGCACTCCCCTCGTTCTAGTACTCTCTATCTTTAACGAACAAGCGGGGCGAAAGCTTCCCCAGATCAAGTTACCTGGAAGGATTCTATGAGAAAAGAAAGACTCGTGCAAGACTTTTCTTTCGACGACATTGGCAGTATAACATGCTGTTACGGGGCCAATTTTTTCGTACCGTTTCCTTGGACGATGATAGTTATAGCGCGAGAACAAAACGACGACACAGAAACAAGAAGGACACGTGTCCTTCTTGTCTCTGTGTCGTCGTTTTGTTCTTGCACTATAACTATCGTCATGCCATACCAACTAGCCCAAGCTGCCACACTTGTAAGTTTCCTTGGACTCGTGAATATATCCATGTGCTAAAAAATGACGACGCCACAATCGAAAATCCCTCAACCGTCTGTCCCCAGGTACCTAGCCCTGAACCCTCAGCCCCAACCATAGCTTCCTATATACTTTCTGTGCCCGCTTGATCCCCGCGCTTTCCATTCTATTGCACCGTCTTGTCTAGTTCGAGCCGAGCCGACAGGAGGCGCCGGCAGCCCTGAGGAGTGCAGACGACGCGCAGTCTCTCTGCTTACTCAGTGAGCATCCCAGAGAGCATAAATATCTTCAACGCAAATGTAAAAACGCACTATTATATTCATCCTGGACAACTTTACCATCGTCAGCAAGCATTACCGTGAGTAGAAATGCATCATACAAGTAAACATAAGCGTATGAATGCAGATTGCGTATCGCATTCTCTGTGCACGCGCTGCGTCGTGTTCACGATAAACTGATGCACTAAACTCATACTTGTCCCCAAGCATATTAAGTCCCCGGTACCCAAGAGGTTCATAGGTGAATCCACAATACTTGTAGCTGCCTCGCCGCTTTAAAGAGATATAAGAAAGCGACATGACAGCACCACTTGACGGCTCCTTACTTTAGCAGGATTACGTTGCGAAGCACAAAGCTGTGGGTTGGTTTCGCAGCCTCAAAGTCACATTTTGACGAATATGAAATGCAAATATGCTGCGTACGTGTGCGTTAAAACATGGCCTTTTTTTCGCCGGCAGGTTTCCTGCCAGCGCGCAGTCTTGACGGTCACGGTGAAGAGTCGCATCTGATCAAAATTAATCCATAGTCCTATATTACGGCATGCCTCGGATTTTCATTGCAGTTTTGCAGTAAAACCCGAAACTTAAGTGACAACACTTGTTACTTTGTTCTGGACATCAACTTTTATTTTGTTGGTATTCTGAAGATGCATATGTTGCATAGGAAATTCCTAACATCGATGAAAGAAAAATAGTACAGTCAGTCAAACAGCTCCAAAAACACAATTCACAGTTTTAGAACTTTTCTCGACAAGGGCTTGTGGGGAAGTGCCTTCCTCACATCGTGTTTGTCAGTCACGCCCAGGGTGTAGTTCATGAACACAGACTTGCAAAATTTCATGCAAACAAGCTCCAGAAACTGCAAGTGGTGCTCAATGCAAACATGCTTAAAAACTTCACTGTTTGCCATAGCAGAAACAGCATTGCTGACTGTTTCCTGCAGAGGCCTTGGTATTGCTCTGCGCTTGCTTAAAATGAGTTCAGTGTACTTTTTTAGCGCGTACAAAACATGAACAAGCTCACTTGAAGGGTACAGTAGCCCACCTCTGTCTTGGTGCCTAATCAGACTGTCAATGGGGGCTGAGGACGCTGGCTTTGTGACAATTGAAATGCAGGAGCTGCAAGCAATCTTTTCTTGTATGACACGGGCCACGAAGCCTCCCACCATAGCAAGTGTCTGGGTGGCTTCGTGCTTTGAGGTAGGTTCAGAAGGAGCATCCACCTAAACTTGTAGAGGTACGGTGAAGCACGGAACTTCTGCGAGACCCGGATAGCTAAAACTTGAAGTAGGTCCATCCGCAGGCACGGTGTCTTCATCGGCTCCAACAAAAAGGCCTGTTGCAGTCCTTGTCTCGAGAGACCGCGCAGCAGCGTTGTCAGTAGCAAGCGCTCGTTTCCTCGCAGCCGCATCACTCCGCGGTTTCTTCGGCTTCGGCTGCATGTACTCCGGGTAGTCATCGAACACGCTGGGAGTTGCACTCCTCTTGAGTTTTCGAGTTTTACATCCTTCTTTGTAGTCCGTCAGGAGAAAATGTCGGCACACAACGGAGCAGCGTGATGTCGTGTTCGGCATTCAGTCTTTCCTAGCGATGGCTTTCAACCAGGCTGCCCTCGCTTCACTGTCACTAGGAATTTCATGAAACGAAATGCGCGGTACCTTACGTTTCGCATCAGATTTGCACTTTGGAACACAGCAGTAGGCCATGGCATCACGAGAACACGCACAAGTTCTTCAATCGCGGGAACACAACGCGCACATCGACTGCGGCCTGCGGTGATCCAAAACGAACTGCCTTCACGCTTACCAGGGCTGGTGGCGCCATCTCTTGGGGAACGGCGTTAGCCGGTGGGAGAGCGCGGACGGAGGCTCTGCCTCCTTCGAGCGGGCACAGAAAGTATATAGGAGGCTATGCCCCAACACAAAAGGATGTCGCCGTGCTCCCTACGGGAGTTGCTTGCTTGATCCTCTTTCATAGCTCTTACCCACTAAGGGGGATTGGTCAAGAAGCCGGCGGTTAATGTAAGTGGGGACTATGCAGGCTACTGGGCTGCAGAAATTAGGCGCCTTCTTCTTCTTCTAACCACTACCACCACCACGCTCGCGCCAAGTGGTGTGCTCTGCTCGCGCTGCGTTGGAATTTAGCCACTCGCGCAGTTTGTATGTATCCATCGTTCTCTGTGACAGAGCTCCGGTTCTGATCAAGTCATCTAGCGTGTCGCGAAACACCTGAAATGACGACTTTCAACATGGTGCCGAGACTACATACGCCGCAAGTCGGCACGTTAGCACGCGAAAACAAGCTCGTAACGAGCGGCGGCTCAACAAGCGGCGGACTCTACGCCAGCACTCGAAAGCTTAACCATAGTTTTGAACTTCTGGCCACGGGTTGCAAAGACGTAGAAAAAAACAACGTTCGCCCCGATTGGCAAGATTGGATAGCAAGTGTGCAGGTAAGGAATCGGACAAGAGCCTTCTACATGCCGTGTCGCCGGCGCAACGGCAAGGAAGAGAACTGGCATGGGGATGGCGAAACAGCTCGTGGCCGATCGTGTTTTGTGTGGCAAAAAAAGATGTGCTCAGGGTTACTATCGAGGTCTATCGGTAAGCGTTTCTTCTACAAGATGATGTTCAGTATCTACAACGAAAGCAAAATGGATCGAAATTTGGGAGGTGTCGACGAAGTCCTGGCGCCGAGCTACGCTGAAAAACTGTCGAAGTCTGCGGTGTCGCGTCTTAGTCTGTGCTCGGTGGGCTCCGCAGAATGGTACGCAGCTTTGAAAGAGCGTCTGAACATAACCGTGAGGTTTTGCGTCTCAAAGCAGAGACAGCTAGATCGGAGTAGCGTCGTCCGCGACGTCGAAGGCGTCGTGCTTCCCAGCCTCACTCCGGCGATGGTACATGAAGTTGAGGCAGCCTTGGTGCCGACGCCCCCAGATGAAGTGCTCGCATCGGCCTTCCGGCTGAACATCAGTAGGGCCGACATGCACACACTCACCGACACCCAGTGGCTGAACGACGAAGTGGTAAACTTCTACATGAATCTCCTCATGCAACGGTCACAGAAAGAAGGCTTTCCCACCGTCTATGCCTTCAACACATTCTTTTATCCCAAGCTGGTGCAAGGCGGCCACGCCGCGTTGAAGAGATGGACGCGCACTGTCGACCTCTTCTCCTTTGACATTATTCTGGTGCCCCTGCACCTCACTGCGCACTGGTGCCTCGCTGTAGTTGACTTCCGTAAGCCCCACATTGCTTACTACGACAGCCTGAACTCAGATTGTGAACAACCTCAGTGCTTGGCCACACTGCAGAAGTACTTGGAAGACGAGAGCCTTCACAAGCGAAGCTACGGTCTTAACTGGGACTGCTGGACGTTGAAAGTGATGGATGTGCCACAACAAGAAAACTACAATGACTGCGGCATGTTCACTTGTCAATTCGCTGAGTGTATATCCCGGGACGCACCTATCTCATTTGGTCAGCAGCATATGCCGTATTTCAGGAAGCGTGTTGTCTACGAGATCCTACACAAAACCATACTTTCAGTGTGAGTTCAGTGGTTTCAGTGTGTTTCTTTACACTGTCGGTGACAGTAAAGAAACGGATCGCTCAACCATCTGCTGTGAAGTGAATAAAGGCGACCGGGATGTTCCAAAGCAATACGTTGGGTGAGTTGATTTCTTCTAGCTTTTTTATTTTACTGCGCAAGACGACGCCACAGAAAGGAAGACACATGCAGCACTTTGTGTCTTCCTTTTTTTGGTGTCATCTTGTGCTGTAAAATAAGGAAGCCGGATGTTCCACCTCTAAAAGATCCAGGGTGTGCAAACACAAGAAGGTAGTCAGGACACCACAAATGCCTAACTGGAGAATTAGCAGTGGAAAAGAAAGAAGGCACGAAAAGTTATCTGCAAATGCCCATGCAATGTACAAACTTATCAATCTGGTATGTGTGGTGGTTTATGAATTCAAATTTATTAACAATTCTTTTTCATGTAGACCACCAAACTCGCATAATGCATGGGCATGCACGGACGAGTTTTGTGCCTTTCCGTCATTGTGCGATTCTTTAGTTGTTAGGCTTTTGTGGTTTCCCGATTTCCCTCTTGTGTTCATGTTTGCATGCCCTGTCTCTTTTCGAAATTAATACGTACAAATTAGCTCGGCTCTCGGTTATTTTAAATGGTATGTTGCCACTCCCAAATGCCTTGCGATTGGCACCGTTCACATTTGTTCGTGTGATGTCATCCTCCTGCCACATCTCACTGGTTTGTACACTTTGCGAGTGCTGTCAAAACTTAAAAATCTAAGCAGAAAACAACTGGCCCACATAAATTCATTTTTTCTCGTTTGTGGCCAGTCAACTCGTTACCAACTTGATAACATGATGGCTGTGTGTTTTGGTGTGAATTAGCCATCAGATTTGGGTAGCAGTGCGTGCCCCAGTTGCACCAATTCATTGTCTACAATTTTTCATAATATCTTTATTGTATTGCTACTTTTATTCAGATGGGAAGCCACCTTTTTATGTAATTAACAGTATGTAGATATAGACCCAATCATAAAAAACGTAAAGATGTATGTTTTTACTTTCCTGTCCAAACATATAACATATAGTTGTTACTGTGAATGTAGTTATGTCATTATGTTCACTAAGACATTGATGGAAGTGCTGCTCCAATTGCTCCAAACTTCCCTAAAAGAGAAATGCTGCTTCAAAGTGCAATATTTGCTACTAACTGCTTCAAACCTGCTCCAAAATGGTGTTGGCAAACCAAAAAGAATGAAGTTGCACCTTGGGACCATCCCATGAGCATAAGCGAAACCAAAAGCAACCTGTATACACTATCATTATAGTATACTACTCGGTGGCGTAAATGCAGAAAAATCTCAAGGGGTGCACATATCAGGCCATGTTGTCCAATTCGTATTTTTAACATGGGTTGTATTTTTATTTATATAGGAATTAAATCATGATTTCAAATTAAAAAAAAGCACGGGGTTCGAGCTCGAGCAATTGCATTGTTCTATTCAGTCTTTTTTTTTTTTCACCTTTTCTCAATTTCCTTAGTTCACAAAGCTGAGGGGCATTTACCACAGGTACACAGTAAAAGATAAACAGCCTTTTAAAAAGTTGAATGTGCTATACTTAACTGTTAACTCAATTATATCACATTCTAGAGCTAAATCTCAAGTGGGACATTTGTGCAAGGGGTGTTCTCCACAGCCTGAACACCAAAAAAGTTCAGACTCTCTTGACCCCCCTCCCTCACATAATTTACACAAACTATACTACTGGTATTATAGTTCATATTAGCATGCAGCATATTTAGTAATAAATATAAATATTTATTAGATGCTTAAGTGATGTTTTAGACTTTAGAAGTCGGTTATGAACATGCATCTGCTTCGAAGACACTTGAGACTGCTCCAAAGCACCATTTTTTCTGCTCCAGAATCTGCTCCAAAAAGCAAAATTTTGCTTCCATCACTGCTGACAGAGCAGAGTGAAATGGTTGTGGTATGGACTTATGCGGCATATCATACAGGTGTGTTCTTATTGTACTGGACATTCAGCAGCAGTGGGCGGCAGAGTTAACATCAACTAAGCGCCACTTGTTGTATCTGCGAGGCGTCATATCAACGATCACCGTATCAGTTTCTACATGGATGGCAGGTTCAAATCGACTGACAGGCTTTTGTTGGCGGCACTCTGGACTTGTGCAGTCTACCAGCCACTTCACAAGGGCTATAAGAGATTATAAGGACAGTGTCATCGCCACGTGTATCTGCAGGGCATCACATCGACGATCACCATATCAGTTTCTACATGGATGATAGTTTCAAATCGACAGACGGGCTTTTGTTGACGGAACTCTGTACCTGCGCTGTCTGCCAGTCACTTCACAGGGGCTATAAGAGACTATGTGGACAGTGTCATCGCCTCTTTCAGCAGCAGTCCACCGTAGGGTCAATATCATCTTAGCACCACTTCTTGTATCTGCAGAGTGTCACATCGGCGATCACCATATGAATTTCTACATGAATGGTAGGTTAAAATCGTGTGAAATGCTTCTGTTGGCGGCACTCTATACCTGCGCAGTCAGCCAGTCACTTCACAGGGGCTATAAGAGACTATGTGAGCAGTGTCGTCGCCTTTTTCAGCAGCAGTCCGCGGCAAAGTCAACATCGTCCAACTGCCACTTCTTGTACCTGCAAGATGTCACATCGACGATCACCGTATCTGTTTCTATGTGGACGGTAGGGTGTTCAAATGGAATGACCTGCACAGTCAGCCACCCAAGCGGTTCACAACCACTGAAAAACACTCTGCGGATAGCGTCGTCACCACATTCAGCAGCAGTCCGTGGCAAAGTCAACATCTAAGCACTACTTCTTGTATCTGCAGGTTGGTTGCACACGATTTTAAAATATTTTCTGTAAAGTAGCCTCAACGTGGCTCCTGCTGAGCCATTGTGTATTGTGGTTTGTTGTCTTAGAAAAAGTTAGAGGACCTCGTGAATGACCTAACAGGAAGCCTTTTATAAAAAATTATAGTCCATTCTATCGACGAACAGGTTTCGCTTTGTGAGGCAGTAGAGTTTCTAAGTAAGGAATATGATGCAATGCGTGCAAGACAGAATGAGCTTAATGCTACAAAGCCCCTGCTAATGAAATAAAAATGAAGCCCTAAGAAAGAAGCTCGCAGATCTTGATCAGTATTCTAGGATGGACGTTGAAATAAAGGGCGTTCGAATTACTCTAGAAGAAAAATGGGCTGCCATACTTGAGCAGGTTGGACAGGTTTGGCTGACCTGTCTCGACTGATGACATTGACTTTGTTCACTGTATTGTTGCAAAATCTAGTAAAAAAAGTATCATTGCACATTTTGTTAGTTGGGAAAGGAAAAATCATTTGTTAAAGGGGCTTTGCAATGCTTTTTGAGCATGGTCATAAAACGCGGCTGATCGGTATTAGGGGCTCCCGAGAACATGCGAGCTAAATGTTACAGCACAGCACGCAGCCTATACTTCGCAATAAATTATCAGTCAGCTGAAAATTGCTTTCTTTGCTCTCGACAAATTACGGAAGAGGCTCAAAAATTACTTGTAGAAGGCCATCTATCAGCCATGGGCTGATTTGAACATGGCATGCTCGGTCGTTACAGGGATCGCCGCGAGAGACCTCAACTTGCCTCGCGTGCGTGCGTGATCACACTGATAAAGCCACGTATTCGAAGGAAAAAAAGGAAACTTTTCTCAAGGTGACGAGGCATGCATAACGCATATTTTTTTTTTCCCTTCTATCCCTCTCTGCTTAGCTCCCAGCACTTTCGTGGGGACAAGAGAAGAGAGAATGCGTTTGCAGCGTGCGACAAACCTTTGTAACTCCGTTTGTACTGAACCAATCTTAAAATTTTTGCAGCGTTAAATTCCTGAGGTAATAAATTTTTGGTATTAAGTCCATCCGGTAACTTTCAGGGCCCCTTTTAGAAGGTTGATTTTTTAACCTTCTTAACAGCCTTTAACAGACAGTCATGCCTGATCGTCTGTTAGATCTCATTATATTGTGTCTAGCAAAGAAAACAAGCTCTTGAATGCACATTTATTCCTTTCATTCAACGCAAGGGTCTTGTTTTAGCAGACTTGGTGCTTAGGGTAGTATACAAGGAATTATTGGTCAGCTGCCAGCTCGTAATAAGATCACGTTTTACGTGACGCCAGACAGGCAGAGCAACAGTGTTCCACACTCGCAGTCATGGCTCCTGACAGCGGTGATTAACACTCCCACAGTTAATGTACATATACACCCCCTAAAGTGGATAAGGGGTTAGCCGCTGTGGTAGCTTAGTTGTTAGGGCATCGGATGCGTTACTCGAAGATCGCAGGTTACCTTTTCGTCCACCTTTCTTTCTTCACATTACAGTATAATTCCTTCTAACAATATCTCCTATACTTATTTAGGCATAAGTATTTGTTTGATCTCATTTAAAAAGTGCTACAGCATCTAAAATTTTTTGCTCAAGAAAGCTAAGAAAAATTTTTATGAAAAGGAATTAGTAAGTCACTATAACAATTAAAAAAAGAAAGAGTTGCTCAATACATTCCTAAACAAAACATGTCACACCTCAATCTAAAAAATTATATATAGTATGCATGTTGGCATGCTTGAAGTTGCTAATGTGTTGAGAGACTTCTTTTTGAAATTTACAATCAGGATCACACAGGTGCTGAATGTAGCATGAATCGAGTTAATTTTCGTTTTTTCTGTTGCCTGTAACATTAGAAGTTTACAGTGCGATTAAGAACCTTAAAGATACATCTCCTAGACTAGATGACATTCATGTATTCATTCACTTAGAAATGGTAGGTCATTTATTCTCTCTAACATTGGCCACCATAATTATCAGCATTCTTAAAACTATACACTCTTAGGAACACGGACGTCATACCAATTATTAAGAAATGGGATAGGTCAATTATTTCTAACTACCAACCTATTTCTTTCTTACCATTCATTAACAAAACAATTGCGAAACTATTTGTTAGT